GATGGGAGGGGGCGGGGCCAGAGGGCGCCCCCCGCCCCGCCCGCCGCGCAGCGTGTCCCGCCGCTCGCGCTGCGCGCAGCGACAGGGCGGGATTCAGCACCCGTCACGTGTCACAGCACATAATCGAGAGAGTCGTGTTGAGCCTAAAGCGTAGCGACGTGGCTGGGACGTCTTTCGCCCTCCTTCCCTCAGATTCCCGTCCTCTCTGTGGGAGACAAAGTGCGCACCTGGTCCTGCTTCCTGCGTCCTGCTGGGTGTCCGGGGCTCTCTTGCCCTGGAGCGTGACTTGGCTTCCCCAGGAGCTGTTCACCCAGTTCAATAGACTTCAATAGACTTTAGCTCCAATGGGTTGTTCAGTTTTTCAGAGGGAAGATTCTTTTTCTTGAAGAAAAAGAAAATAAGTTGGTTTTTTTGAAAGTATTATTTGCAGAAATGTGTTGTGCTCCCGTGGGCTGGACAGATTTTGATGAAAGGCTGCCTGGTCACTTGAAAGCTGCTCTGGCTGCTCATAAAACAACTTTCTTAAGCTTAGAAGGTCTGTAAGGCCAAGCCCTTGTTTATTCTAGATTCTGATCTTCAACATTAATTTTATTATTTTGGGCCAGATGGGTATCAGCAACATACCAGCAATAATATCAATTATATCAGCAACAGCCACTCCTTAGCAAACTGGCTGCAGGTGAGCAGGATCAGACCTGGTATTGACCCCTGGGTTACAGGGCTACAACCAGACTTTTTGTTCTGATCACCACCCTCTGGGCCTGGCTGTTTGCACCTTTTTTTAGTCCTCTTCACTGTCTGCTCATCCAGCTGATAATTCAGCAGCTTCTTTATGAGGATCTTGTGCGAAATCCAGCTATATTATTATATATTATTATTATATATTATTATATATCCTTATATATTATTTAATCCTCTCTAGCCACTCATTTAATGTCAGGTAAATAAAATATGAGTTTCCAGTTTTGTAACTCAACTGTAAATACAGCAGTTGAAAATTGAACTTTCAAAATAAGCTGTCTTGAAATGACCTTGATGGAACATTCTGCAAGTTGCACAGCAGGCCTGATATTTAACCAAAATTACTTTTTTTGCTGAGACTTCCTACTGACTCATCTGAAATGATGTGGCCGGGAAAATTTCTCACTAATAATAATAGACCAGTGCAAGTGTTTTCCCTTAAACTCTCCTGGTGGTTTTAGTCAGAGTATCATAGTATTTCAACTGGTAGATTAACTGCTGGAGAAATGTCACTCTTTTGGAGCATCATCCGGTTGAAATCTTGACTCTCAAGTCATGAACAGTTCAGTCAGTGAATCCCTTCTAAATAGTCAGCTAGCTAGTGATTCTTGCAATCCTTTTTAAAAATAAGCAACGGAGAAAACCTCTAATATTCTTCATGTCTGATATTCAACCAATTGTATAACTTCTTTGGTTGGATTTGGATGAGTGTACAGTGTTCTGATTTTCCATCAAAGTGCTGGTTGGCTCACATACAGCTGCAGAGATGGCCTTAGGGTTTCATGTTTGCTTGCCTAATATGAGCTGTATTAAATCAGTTGTATTAAAACAGCTGCCTTGACCATCCTCTGTAAATGTGAAATAAACCTGAAAGGCTACAATTGTATTCTTAGCACTCATACATATTCATAGATGCAACTTCTCAGGTGGTGAGAAGCATTGCTAAAAATCTTGCATGTTTCACTGGTAGCATTTGCCTCTGCTAATGAGTGAGCCAAAACAGAATTCAGCTCAATTCTCACATAATCACTTTTAAACTAATATATTTAAATAAGAAGTGTGAATGCAGAAAGACAGTCATTGCCTTAGTCAGGTCTAGCTCAAGGGAAGAGTCTCTGGAAGGCAGAAGGGCCCACTTCCTCCAAGGTGAGATCTGGGATTGTTGACACAATTCCTTTCCGTGGCATCAAGTTGTTGTAGAAACTTGTTGGACTGAATATGCAAACTGTTGCAAGCTGCAGTGTTGTTTAGGGAGAAGGGGAGGTGGTTTGGAGTACTGCTTAGGCCAAATGGTATGTAAAGAGCAAGAACTTCACAAACCAGAAATTGTACCTTTTTATTATTATTATTTGTAGGCATTTTGCCGTTAAGCCACGAGATGGCAGAAAAGCAAAAGAAATGCACGCCCTTGAAAGTACTGTCTAAAGCGAAATACAATAGGGAAGGGGCTAATTTTTCTTACTGAAGTGTTGCTAAAACCTTATAAACTTTAGAAGTCTGTTAGATAGTCCTTTAATTAACGTGATCTAGCTGTGACTTGTGATAAACTGTAGGACTGTATCTCTCTTTTCTGCAGTTTGTGGGTCAAGACAAATGTCTATTCGTTCGTTATGGACAGACAGTAAAAATACAAGCCCTGATTATTTCCTTTTTGGATCCCACTGGAATATGGTGTGTAAGCAGATAAAATGCAGGATAAGGTCTATTTGTATCTGGAGGAAGACCCATGATTTTCCTGAATGGTGATTAAACCTCAATTTATATATTTTATTAGTATACCCTCTTACTCTGCCCTTGCAAAAAAAATCTACCTTCACATTATTATCGGAGCTGACTACAAAGACAGTTAGGAGACTCAAATGCTGACTTGGTCCCCCTTGATGTGAAGAATAAAAGACAGCGTTGTCTTAAAATCACCTTTGTGCTTTGTCTGTGTCATCTGATATTAAGAAATTGCTATAATCTTTTCTACAAGAGAATTTGTCACAGTTTAATGCTGGGCTGACAATTAAATGATGGAGAGATGCTCTCTGTTAACCCCTCTGCCTTCCCGGAAAGGGAAAGGAAAAAGAGTAGGAGAGAGGGTTGTGGGTTGGAAACTAAACAACACAGCTTTAGTGAAACAGTAATGATGAAAAAGAAAATAATGAAATCTATACAAAACTACTGTGTTACTCCCCCAGTAATGCTCACGTCACCACTGAGGCTGCAGGGCAGGTGCCTAGGAAAGTCCTGGGCTGGGCTTCTGGAGTCAGCAAAAGATGGGAACTGAATTCAGCACTGCCTGAATGGGGATCAAAGGCAGATGAACGGATGGAGATCTGCCAGGACATAGCCATGGATGAGAAGAGCTTGAGCCTCCTGATCTCTCAGCTTTACACTGAGCATGATGTGTAAGGGATGGAATACTGCATTTGGTCATTTTGGATCACCTGTCCCATCTGCTCCTCCGCACAGTAGGGTCGCAGATGTGGCCCCTTTTCCCCCCTTTTGTTTCTGGCACACAAGAAGTGGAGCAGAACCAAGCAACGACCTTGGTTTCTTTAGGAATAAGTCTAAGAGAGAGCCTGTCTGCTTACCATTCTCCAGCCCCAACTATAAACATCCAGTGTTACACATACTAGGAGCAGACACTGACTGAACTACATGCTGCTAATTTCAGCAGGTGCAGTCAGTCACTTAGAAGAGACTTCACTGAGAAGTTAAATTACTAAAAGGAAAATTTGTTCTGTCCTGGCTCAAACCAGAAAAGTATTTCAAATGAACAAACTGTTTTCCTCTCCTGACTAGTCCCTTCACTGTAATCTTAATGTACTAGTTCTTAAAATATCTTTTCCAAAAGCAATTGTCAAAATTGCATTTTTAGCATGGAGTAAGTAGCAATCATGTAGAATAGCAGTGCATAGCAATAGTATCAGTAATAACAGTGTACATGGATTGTTTGGACAGCTTTGTCCCACAGTTATTAAATACCCCATAATGCTGATGGCAACCCAGAGAAGACATGGTCTACCATAGTAGTTAATAATGTTGAGGGGTCCTTAAGTGTCCTCCTAGGTGTAGTAAGCTGAGTGAAAGACCCATATCCAATGACATACGGTTTCAACCTCTCGCATTATATGGTTTCTTCAATACAGTCACACAGAATCACACAACCACAAAATCATCCTGGTTAGAAAGGACCTTGAAGTCATCAAGTCCGACCATAACCTAAATCCACCAACCATAACCTAACCTACGCGTTCAGTTCTTAAACCATGTCATTAAGCACTATATCCATATTTCTTTTAAACACTTCCAGGGATGGTGACTCCACCACCTCCCTGGGCAGTCTGTTCCACCGTCCAACCACTCTTTTGGTAAAGAAATTCTTTCTAATATCCAGTCTAAACCTCCCCTGACGCAGCTTCAGGCCATTTCCTCTTTTCCTGTCATTATTCACTTGAGAGAAGAGGACTCCCACCCCCCCACAACCTCCTTTCAGGTAGTTGTAGAGAGCAATAAGGTCTCTCCTCTCCTCCTCTTCTTCAAACTAAACATCCCCATTTCCTTCTGCCTCTCCTCATTGGGCTTCTTCTCCAGACCCTTCACCAGCCTGGTACTTCTCCTCTGGTCACACTCCAGCAACTCAACATCCTTCCTGTAGTGAGAGGCCCAGAACTGCACACAGTACTCAAGGTGTTGTCTCACCAGTGCTGAGTACAAGGGCACGGTCACCTCTCTGCTCCTGCTGGCCACACTATTCCTGATGCAGGCCAGGATGCTGTTGGCCTTCTTGGCCACCTGGGCACACTGCTGGCTCGTGTTAAGTTGGCTGTCAACCAGCACCCCCAGGTCCTTCTCCACCATGGAGCTTTCCAGACACTCATCCCCAGGGGATGAGTAGCTTTGCATGGGGTTGTTGTGACCAAAGTGCAGGACCCAGCACTTGCCCTTGTTAAACCTCATACAGTTGGCCTTGGCCCATCAATCCAGTCTGTCCAGGTCTCTCTGCAAAACCTTCCTACCCTCAAGCAGATCTAGATCATTAATAAAGATACTGAACAAGACTGGACCCAAAACTGAGCCCTGGGGACACCAATGGTGACCAGCCACCAGCTGGATCCAACCCCATTCACTACAACTCTCTGACTTCAGCCAGCCAGTTTCTTACCCAGCAGAGAGTGCACCTGTCTGTGCCATGAGCCACCAGCTGTTCAAGGAGAATGCTGTGGCGGACTTTGTCAAAAGCTTTAGCAAACTCTAGATAGACAAAGTCCACAATTTGTCTGTGTCCTCCACCTATCTTATAGTCATAGTGGGTCTTCAGATTGGTACACATTCCAAAAGTGCCAGAGAGCTTTCGATGTCAGATAAAAATATTACCCATATCCCCTGCGGACACCTCAGTCGTATTGTCTTAGTAAAGCAGGAAGTCCTTCACCAAAAGAAGGCTTTGTGAGTAGTAGTTCTTATCTCCAAAAAGGTGTGGAATAGGTTTTGGCCAGGCTTCAATGGCACATTCAAGGGCTTTCTTTGGTTTTACATCTTTGGGAATTTATTGCCTCTTTCTGTCCTTAATCCCCTAATTTGCTGCTGCCCATCCATCTGTTTTCATTCTGACAGGGACACCGTTTACTTCTAGGACAGGCAGCCTTGGTGGTGTGACTATGGCAATGACACTTCTTTACTGAACCAATCAAGATGTGCACCATTCTGCAGTGTCTTGGCCAAGGCTCATAAGCACAGATCATGGACCATGAGGCAGCATACAGGAGAACTGTACTACACACGGGAAATGAGTAGTAGTTCAAGACTTTGCAGCCTAGTTAAATAATCATGGTTAGTCCATGTGCACTTAGTTGCCCTGGTAGTAAAAGGAGAAAAGTATAGCTGAAAAAAAAAATTGTCACCATATTGGTAACTCATGTTTTTTGCATACAACACACTTGTTTGGGGGAACTAATGATAATGCATTTTCTGCTATTGTGTCCTGGTTTGAGCCAGGATGAATCTAATTTTCCTTTTACTGATTTTTTTTTCCCCTCAGTAAGCTTTCTTTTAACTAGCATCAGTGTGTTCTAACTAAGGCTGATAAGAATGGAATGGTTTTTTTTAACTGCTGGGTCTTCAAGCTCATATCTTCACTCTGCCAGCTCAGACACAACGGGGAGATCTATGACCCTGCCGTAGGAGGCTGAGTTAGACAGACAGCACAACTGGCCAGAGATATTCCATTCCATAGATCTACAGAAGCTCAGAGGAAGGTCAGAGATCACAGAAGACAACTTCGTTCCTGCTTCTCCTTCCCTTCTCTTCCATCCATGGCCGGTGTCTGGGGAGGACTCTGTTCATCCATCACACCGACCCCCAGGCTCGAGCTCTCCTGACCCTCATCACTCTCTGCTTTCTCCAGCAGCAGCTCCGGGATTCCTCAGGACTGTTCCAGCTCAGGAGATGTTGTGGGAGTTGCTGGGGGTGGGGGGAGGCGAGAGGCTTTTGCACATACCTGAACATATTTGTATATAATTGTATATTTTTTATATATATCATTAGTGTTTAGTTAAAGCTGTGTATTATAGTTTTCAATCCAGCCACATCTCTCTCTTTTTCTCTCTCTCCTTCCCTACCTGGGTGGGAGGGGAAGGAGATTGAGAGCATTGTTGAACTTGAGGCAAACGGTGACATATTGAAATGTTGTTTTATGGTAAATTAACAGCTGTACCTGAAGTAGCTTTGATTCCTTCCAGACTCTGGAAGCTACTCTAAAGCAGCCACTCTATTTGAAGCAGTCACCTCATTGTCTTTTCTGTGAATTGTCCACATTTGTTGTGGTGTGAGTGAGTAGTATCAGCACAGCATACCTGCTGGATATCTGCCTGTTTTAAGTTATTCTCTTGCTCTTGTTGAAGAATTCCTAATTTGGTAGCCTGTTAATGAATAACTAAAGTGACTTCTTTGTGTTAACAGTAAAATCCATCAGAACTGATGCTAGTGTTCCTTGAAAAGAAAGACATATTGCTCAGGTCACAGCCAGAGGATAAGATTCAGATTTAGAAAAAACAAATCTCATACCACAGCAATAAGAAAACAAGAATAGAAAGCTGAGGTAACAGTTCTTTAAAAGACGGATGTTGGACCAAAACAAATACTCCACAGTACATACTAAGGTGCCATGATGTTAGACTTTGCCTGGGAGAACTTACAGAACTAATTATAATTCTTCATTTGGAAGGCTAATGCTTTTTTATTTGCTGTTTTTTGGGAGATTTTTTGTTTGTTTCTTTCTTTCTTTTTTGTTTTGCTTTGTCCTGTTCCACATACCCTCTACAACCCTCCCCCACAGAAATGTGTTGCACTGATAACTCCTTGCCAACTATCCATAGATTTCCAACTTTGGTAATATTGTGGGGAAAATGGTGTGTTGTGATTTCTGCATTTACTGTTAGTGATCCTCTCAGTGATCTTTTACGAGCAGCAGAGCTGTGCCATGCTCACTCCCTGCCCATTCAAGCTGCCCATGACTTCAGCTGCTGTAAGTTTAAGGAAAGAATAGGTCAGGCAAAAAAGAGGAATAAAAATTGCTAATATCAGATCCACTTTCTCTGTGGGTTTCTCTTTTAATTAGTTCATTTACCAGGCCCCTTGGCAGCTATTTTGTGCTATTTTCCCATAAACTTGTCCTAGAAACCCCCATTGCCATTCTCTGCTTTACGTTGCTATAGTCCTGACATCAGAGTGTTCATGCTACATTTGCTTCTACAATGTTTGTATGCTTTTACAAGTCGATTTCAATATACAAAATGTGCAGATACTTTTACCATTTTAAAGGTGGTTATGTACAAGGCTGCCATCATTATCAAGGTATTTTTTGTGTCACAGACATGGTTACTATGAAGAAAAACAAGAGTTCTTTTGACCCTTATGATTTACAGGTTTGCTTGAAATGTGTGGGTTCAGTAGTTTCTTTCTGTACCATATATTTCCTGAAATACTTAACTCTTTTACACTTGCTTTCCAGACATGGTTTTGTAGCTGGATTTCCCTGGAGTTTTTTCAGTGGAGGCCAGTGACAGGACAAGAGGTAACATGCACAAACTTCAACACAGAAGGCCCATCTGATCATGAGGAGGAACTTCAGGAAGTTCAGGGTAGCAGAGCACTGGAACAGGCTGCCCAGAGAGGTTGTGGAGGATCCGTCTCTACACATGTTCAAAACCCATCTGGTCGCCATCCTGTGCATCCTGCTTAAGGTGAACCTACTCTGGCAGGGAAGTTGGACTAAATGGTCTCCAGACGTCCCTTCCAACCCCTAACATTCTGTTATTCTGCGATTTATCTGTGTGATGACTGAATAGTATGATACACAGTCCTTTGCCTAGCTCTCTGTCTGTCATACTTTTTTTTTAAGCAAACACACTCCCTACATGTTATTTTTTTCATAGAAATGTAGCCACCTTATCTTCATTATACAATGGAAACTACTTAGAGTACTTCCAGGGTAAGAACTTAGAGCTCTGAGATCTTAAAATATGTTTGGAAACTTTTCAGTTAAGTAAGATAACATTTAGCTTGGATGTCTGAGCTATTTCCTTTGACAAAATGGCATTTGTGATTGAAATTGAGTAAAACTTTTTGACTAAGGAATTGAATGCAATATAACTGTTTTAACACACATTCTATCTTAATCAGTTAATGATAGAGATATAATAAATGGCCTCAGTTTTTTCAGCCAGTCCAAAACAGACTTGACATAATGGATTTTCTTTTCAAGCTGGTATATGGCTGTTATTGTTATTATTGCTATTATTGTTATTGGTATTGTTATTGTTGTTATTGATATTATTGTTGTTGTTGTTTTTGTTATTTTTACTATTATTATAACATACCTTAGGATCTGATATGTGAGGATATTAACAGAATGGCTGTGGAAAATCAGAACATGGCCTGAAAATTCTTGCAGACAATTTTTTTTTTTAAATATGGGAGGAGTCCTTGAAGAAGCCTCAGATGAGATAAAGATGCTGAGTAGAACATTTTTAGGCAATAATTCATTTCCAGGAGGAAGAACAATTTTGTCCTAAGATGGGATCCTGAAAGATCACTTCAAGGGGGAAGAAAAAACCTCCAGAAGCTCATCCAGTGGCTAGGGCACTTGGCTAAGACACAGAGGAGAATTTATGAGGAAAGTTGGTGCAAATTATCAGATTCCCATAGAGGTGAAACGAGGTTAGCGCTCAAGGAAACCACCTAAGTACGCAACTAGAAGTAGGAGGTTATTCCATGGTTTGGGAAGTATAGTTCAGCTGATAAAAGGATGTAATTTTGTCAGGCAGTAACAAAGGCTGCATGATAGTGATCACAGAGGCTTTGTGTAAAATCCAATAGTGACAAAACCTTAAGTGGTTTAAATCATATCAAATTCCTGTGTATACACCAAGGAAGAACTCGAATAAGGTTATACTCAGAGTTCAAGGCCTTTTAATATGTTTGAAGGATGTTATAATATATGCTTTTATGCAGTGCTCTACAAATAAGAGGCTGAAACTGTGTCAAGAGGGGAATATTCTTCACAGCACAATGTTTCAAAATGCAAGATGAGTCACAGGTTGAGGAAAATGAGCTGTGTGGTAATGGGATCTTTCCATAGATAATTACTCTGCTATATTTCTGTGGCAGAAAAATGCCAGATAATTAGTATAGGGAGAAGCAGTTTGCGTTAGTTTGGTTCTCATTTAATTCTGCTTATAGCAGAAAAAAGTAGATGCATCCATCTACCCCAAATATGCTATAAATATGGATACATATATTTTATTTTAATAGTAAAGTTTGTCTTTTGCCTGGTGTTCCAGTAACATATACCTTCTGTACATATATCTTGAAAGTGTTGATGTGCTCCACACTCCTGTACATTTTCTTTCCTCAGATATTCTGTCTTTCATATTTGGGATAAGATTTTTATGTGCTCAGTAGTACCTAGCACAGTTTTTGGATGGTAAAATTGTGAAAAACATTTTCCAACCTTTGATTCTATGATTCTATGTGTTCATGGTACCAGTACCTGGAGCGAGTGCAGTGGTGTGATCACTAGTGAAGATCCAACTAGACTAGCTGACAACTGGGTGAAATGGGGTAGGAACCATATGTTTGTGCATGCTTTTAAGGACGAGATCACAGGAGGAGATGTCTGTTTTGGGGATCAGAGAAATTCCAGCAGCTGCTGGAGAGACTGCAGGGTCCAAGACCCTAAGTCAAAGATGTGTGACGTGTCTCTGCATAAGGTGAAGGTGGGGGTTGCCTAATTAGGGTCCAGAGGAGTCCCAGGCAGATCAATGCATGTGT